CACTTTTGGTTCTGAATGCAGACTGGTTAGGGTCCAGGCTGGTGAGGATGTTTATGTGCTGGAGAGCCAGTTTCTCAAAGCAGTAGCTATAACTGTATTCACTCACCAAAATAACGTTCCTCAATCTTCTATTCTTGATAAAAAGAGATAGGTTCCCACCAAACACCTCATTATGAGATATAACCAAGCAGCAGTCAGACATGTATCCCTCTTCCAGGATCAGATATAAGACATACAGCCCATAAAGGAAGAACATGTCTGAAATGTCAGCTGGAGTCAGGACATGTCGTGTTCAGGAAGTTGTCAATCATTTTTAAAGTCACTTACCCAGAGGCCACTGTACGGATGAGAGGGAAGGGACTGACGTGATCCTTTATTTTAGTTGTGGTGAAAAACGAGGCAGTGTTTTGCAGACAAAATACAGTAGGCTTAATGTGACAGCTGAGGCAAAAAGAATGACTTTCTTTGGGTCAGGGGTCAGAAAACAGGATCTATAAACAGTTATTAAGTGGGGGAAAGTGAGGAGGTACATGACCTCAAGTGATGTACATGCATCGTATTAATTTGTTACTTTATTCTACACATCAGACGAAAGAATTATACTTTTTTTCCTGCTGCATCTAACTAACAACTGTGAAAATACAGAATGAAATTATGTGACGGGCTTGTTCAGTGATCCATTGCTTTAGATTAAATGTAGGTTAATGCATAACAATTGCTACTTGCTAGTATTTAGATCCTTTACTTCTATCAAGGATCTTGATAATTCTTCCACCACCACAGCAAACAACAAAAGCTACCAGACAAGACTATCCCTAATTCTTCTTCCTGGTTTGACCATAAAGTGAAGTCTTGTATCATCAGCATATATGTCACACCTCCTTCACCTGCAAATATATCTGAAAGAGACACAAAAAGGACCAGAACGATGCTAAATGACCATAAAAATTTTCAAAATGACCACAAAGAGATGTAAAACTACTATAACGATGCAAACTGACTGCAAATAATGAGAAAAATTCAAAACAACTACAATTTCTAGTGTCTTTAGTGGCTACTATGTAAGAGGGGTATGGTTCCTTTTAGATGTCTGTGTCCAGGGGCACATTGTTTCATAATCCGTCCACAGAGAGTGGAGTGGCCCACCATTAAATATTGATAACAAAATAAGCACATTCATATGGGAGACAGACTTGAGTGATCTGCCCATACAGTAACGGACCCACTGCCATGAATAGACCTTCATGCATGCTAATGTCTGCAGAGACTAATGGAGGAGACGTCTTGGTGCCTCCAGACGCACAGGAGAGTGCCGGTGCCCAGGGGAGGGATTGGCAGAGTCGATGCTCGTGCACATGCCCACTGGGGATTTGCCTCCACCAGTGTAGTGCACCCTGCAATAGCTGAGCTGATACACCCCTATAATACTATTAAAAAGATGCACATTGCTGGTGGCAGAGCCAGTCGCCCTCTAATCAAGAGTAAAAGCAAACAGACTCAGTATGATAGTATGTGGAGGTTGCCAAGTAAACATAATGAGTGGTTATCAGTATTTGTAGAAAGAACATATTATATCTCATCAAGAGTTCAATTAAATGCCCAGACCATGTATGAAAGAAATATTTTATTCCTCACATTAGAATAACAATAGAGGCCATCTTTGCTGGGTGCTGCAGGCAGCTTGTATTGTGTCCCATGTTTGGTTTGGGACATAACCAGTATATTTACATAATCTGAATTAAATGTAAATCAAGCTGTTTCATCTCTGTCTCCATGGATTCGAGGGGTTAAAGCGTGTGCTCGAAAACAGCACCCCTCAGCAGGGGAAAAGACCTTTCATTGTTGAGAAATCTGGAGTTTAAGGCCTGGAGCATCTTCTTTTCAGCAAATCTCTGCGTTTTTAAAAAATTTACCCCTGATGGCCTCTGTAGGAAAGAGGTTAGCCAGTTTGTATTTATGATACAATTCACGTAAATGAGGCTGTTTGGCCTTAATCCTTGCCTAATTAAGTGCCAGTCTGCTGAGGCAGACTGCTAAGGGCCAAAGCGTAATACCTGTCGAATTATGGGAACAGCTGGAGCAGCCTGCCTGTCAGCAGATCAGCTCCACATTATTATCCTGCTCATTTATCAGGAGGGTAAAACAGAGAGACTCCCAACTAGTACGTTGGCCGTCCTTATTTCTGTTGCCATTCTTTCCCAATTAGGCTTTGCCGTATGTGATGGCTACACATCCATGTGTGGCTCATAATTTTGTGAAATATGGAGACTGTTGCTGTGTGTTTGAAGTGGAAAAAGCAACTTAATTGATGATGCTGTTTTATTTCACAATGTGTGGACCACAGAGGACACTGCTGTCTGTCTGAAAGCTTCAGCTGCAGTAGCCAGAAAACGGTGATACCTCTAAACGCTATGCATTCATTAATGAGAACCTCATCAAATTAACATTGAAATCATCATGGAGTGAATAATGAATAACGCAGAGCTGTTTGCCAAGGGGGAATTTAATTAATCAAACAATCAAAATTAATAGTCTGCATGTGGAGGTGAAAAAGAATAGAAATATTTTCTCTTTTCTCTTCTCTTCTCCCCTTTTTCTCTCCCCCTTTGATTTAACTTCAAAGATGAGGAGCCCTACTGTAGCATCAGTGGCTTTGTAAATATGCAGCATAAAGCCAAATGTGTTGTTATTCACGAATGCTGTGACCTACATAGTAACATTTACAATTCACCCCTCTGTGATCAGCAGCTAATCAAGGCTGCCCTAGTTAAACACTGCTAGGGAGCGTCGGTGTGTTGGCAGGCAAAATTCGGTCTCTGCAAAACATAAAGAAAAAAACTGAACAACTGAATGACAGAAAAGATATTATTTTCTAATCATCACTGACTCCACGTGATGATGACACCAAACATTCTCCAATTGAAATTATACAAGTTGAATAATTAAAACTCAGAATTTGTGGGGTTTTTTTCGTTTGTTTATTGAATAAGTCTTCAGTTTGAGCATCTTGTTTGTTTTCTTCAATAACAAAGAAGTGCTCTCAACTATAATCTGAATAATGTTACCATTAAAAGCAGATACATCCATTAAGTCTCGTATGTGACGCATTGGTTTGGATGTATCGCCACCTGCTGGACACTCAGAGCTGGTGCTGGTGGATTAATCAGAGAAACATTTGGGTTGTGAATTATACGGATCCTGCACTCATTTTCACATTTGTTAACAAATAGTATTCATATTATCACTGCCAGGTTGGAAAAGATCCAGTTAATATATTTTAGCTGCATAGACAGGAAACATGGAGCAGTTTGCCCTTTTGACTAAAAGAATGATCATGTGAACACATTTCTTATACTTGTATGACAGGATACACAGAAGAGCCACATTCACACACACATACACACACACTACACTAAAAAAAACTAAAATGGAAGAACTGAAGTTTAGAGATCTTTCAGTCTATTACTGCAAAAGGGAAAACGTGCAATAGATGCAGGTTTAAAGGCAAGTTCAGTCAATAAGTTGATGAACATTTCAATAGCTACCTCTCAGTGACAATATTGTTGTTTTATCTAAGCCTAAATAATCCTATATTGCAATCTTTTGAGTCTTTTATATGTGTTGTATACCCGTTTCCAGCTGTATGTGAGGAGTTCATATTCTGTCCACGTCAGCATCACCTAGGTTACTCCATTTCAGCTGTGTTTTGTGTACAGTACACTAAAAGGCAAATGGCAGCTCAGTGTTGGCTCAGTAAAGCAAGTTTATTTGTATAGTGGCTTTCAACAGCAAGACATTTACATACGAGCTTTACATAAAGCATAAAACCACCTGGAGTCAAAATCTTACAAGTACAAGAAAAAAACATACATTGCCATTTTAGAGCACCTATCTTATCTTATCTTATTTTAATTACTTTATGTACAATAACAAAGCATCATATTTTATCAGTTCATTATGTATTTTCAATTGGAAATCTTAATATGCAAATATAGTGGAGATGAAATCTAAATATATAATATATATATAAAATAGGCTATGAACTAAGGTTACTTTGTACTAGTACCTCATAATTGTGCTCATAGCAAATTAATACATTAAAAGTAAATGTAACTACATTGTGCCGATAATATTTCTGTACTTTTGAGTAAACCTTTACTTTGCCTTTGAATAGGTGTATTTTTATATTGTGGTGGTTTTACTTAAGTAAAGATCTGAGAAGACAAACACTAAAATCTAAATCTGCCTCAGAGGACTTCCCCGAGCATCCTTCATGAGTTCCCTGTAGTTGTGCTAAAGTATTTTATAAAGTATTGTTATGGAGAGACTAATATTTCATCACAAATATGGCCAACTCTAGAGCTTCCACAAGGTGGCAGAATACACCACAAGAAATATTTTTGTGCAGCAGCTATAGTCTTCAGCACCTCGGATCAATTCAATATAATACACAATATACAGGTTTATGTGAAAGCTACTGTGAGACACTGTCCTCTTGTAATAGCTGGTAAAGCATTGAGGACTGGCTTATCCACTACGGATATCATCTTATTGTTAGACATAAAGCACAGCCATTTATTTGTCTGGACAATTCGAATATTCAGTTTCTTTTCATCAAGGGCTGCAACTAACTTTCATTTCCTAAATGAATTGTTTGGTCCATAAAATGTCAAAAATTGTGAAAAATGTCAATTTCAACTCTGTTCCCCAAAGCCCAAGGTAACGTCCTCAAATGTTCTGTTTTGTCCACAACCCAAATATATTCAGTTTACTGTCATAGAGGACTGAAGAAACCAGTAAACATTCACATTTGAGAAGCTGAAATCAGAAAATTTGGACATTCTTCCTAAAAAATTACTCAAAACGATTAATTAATTATCAAAATAATTAATTTAACAGTTGACAACTAATCAATTAAAAGTTGCAGCTCTTTTGCCATCTATAGCTCATTCTTTTGAAATCCGACTGAAGAATTAAATAGAAGCAAAACCAGATTTTAAAGAGATAATAAAAGGTTTATTACAACAACTTATCAATTCAAACTTTATACAGAACTTTCACAAGTTACAAGTACACTTTCAACACAGTATCACACCTCCCCTTTTTTTTAGAGTTAAGCCGAGGTCAAAGAAATAACCAAAGCTTCCATAAACTCAGAGCCACAACTCAAGTTGAAACAACTTGTTTAATAATATTTATCTGACTGAGACATTATCGAATAAACAGTTAAATTCTCGCAGAGAATTATTATCTCATGCAGATAATACATAACAGTTAAATTTAAAAAAAATCATACTTTAATAAAACAATGTGTTAGCTTCTCGTAAAACTACACAGTAGTAAGCCAGTACAGACTAAGAGAAAAAGGCAAATTGACTTCATGGTGTGATTTGCTTCCTACTATTATTTCAATGATGAAATGCTCACAATTCTTACAAGCAGTAGTGTTACTCTAATATACATGATGTGATTCCAGTTCACATCTGAATGCTTTAATCTTACATGACAATGTATCGAGTCAGGGAGAGGCCTATCCTAATGATTGAAACATTGTTCAGAGGAGTTTTTAACATTAATGTGATCAACAGGGCTCAGCTACTGAATCCAGACTATTCTATATAAAAAAAAGTACATAACACCTAGAAAGATCACATACAATGTATCATCGATGTTATTTACAATGTTTTCTAAAAACTTCCTCTAGAATTGCAATCATGAAAACAGCATAATGTCCTTAAGTGTTCTGCGTTAGACACTAAAGCCATAAACAGTCACTTATAAAGCAAAGACAGTATACAAAGCAAGGTTTTTCAAAACTGAGAAACTATGTTCATGAGACCCTTAATCTGAGAGAACAGCGATCAACTAAAGCTAATCTGCATTAAAAATGTACAGATGTAATTTATACAAAAACATTAATGGCACTGAGTCAACATCACCATGACTGAGTAATGGAAAAAGGTACTGCAATCCTACAATCACTGCTTCAGGAACAATCAGACTACAGGTGGAATGTTAATGAAATAACAAACATTTCTAAGCAGATCGCCTCCTTAAGACTATTTCTTTACTTTTGTATTTCATTTTTTATTTTGTACAAACATTCAAACTGCACGATGCAACTACAGCTGATCTCACAGAAAAGTTGTCAAATTTAAAAATCTTATTCAGCCATTTACATTTGTGTAATGTGTTATTCAAATCTACTTCTAAAAAGCTGCCAGTACTTAACATGTGGACTGTTTAAACTCAAAAAAAAAAAAAAAAAAAGTTGCAGTCATGTGAAAAACTACGTACACCCCCATGAAACGTTTTTGACATATGGACCCATTAATATTTTATCCTCGAAACTTTATAGATAAAAGGTGACTTAATTGAACAAAAGAAAACAACAACTTTATGTTAACGTTTCCTATAATTGTCTACCAGCCTTTGACAGCGACTGGGAGAAATATTTGCCCACTCTTCCATGCAGAACTTTCAACTGAGGGGTCTCTTGTACGTACAGCTCGTTTCAAATCACCCACAGCATTTCAATCTGATTCAGGTCTGGACTTTGCCTAGGCCTTTCCATCTCTTGTGGATGTAATGGTGTGCTTTGGATCATTATCCCGTTGGAAGGTCTACTTCTTCACCTTTAACTTCCTAACAGATGGCCTCACCTTCTCCTCAAGCACTCTCTTGTATGACGGTGATGATCATAAGTCGACCAGTTCCTGAGGCAGCAAAAGCAGCCCCAAAACTATCACATTGCCACAACCATGCTTTACAGTAAGTATGAGGTTCCTCTGGTCAAATGCGGTCTTTGGTTTTTCGCCAAACAACTCTATCTTTGACTCATCTCTCCAGAGAGCATTGTTCCAGAAATCCTGGTCCTTGCTTAGATAATTATTGGCAAACTTTAGCCTTGCCTTGATGTGCTTTGCAGACAGCAAAAGGTTTTCTCCTAGCACACCATCCCATCCCAATCCATGCACTGTTCAAATTAAGCTCAAATATCTCCATGTCTAAACACATTTTTTGGGGTGCACTTACTTTTTCACATGACTGTAAACCCATCATCTTTCAAAATGTGCAAAATGGAAAAAGCAAATTATAAAACAAAGTGACTGCTCTTTATGTAACTTCATCATAAAGATAGTGCTTATAAAACACATAGAAATAAACCAGCAAGCTAATTAGAAATGAGCCACAACACACTTTGGTATGGTCTCTAACAATTCACTGATCAACCTTCAGGCTGCTTTCAAATAAAAAAATATATAAGATTAATAAATAAACTCACACAAATACAAAAAAATCTCAGAACCACGTGTTTTACATCTTACACCTAAAGTGCCTGTTCTTTTGTCTTCATCAATTCCAGAGAAAACGTTGCATTTTCAAAAGCATTGCCTACGGAGGACAAAATGGACCAATCATAAACAAACCAAATCAAGAATAAATTGAGATAAACAGTGCGGTCCAAACTGAAGCTGAGAGAGAATCCCTTTCCTCTGTTCGTCAGAGGGATTGAGGAGGCGACAGCACTCCAGTGTTGACGCTTAAACGCACAGTTTGAGACGATCAACTCCCTGAAGGCTGAGACTGGGTGGCGCCCCTCCGCGGCTGGCTCTCCTCTGTGCTCTGGTTTGAAGTGGTGGTGGTGGCGGAGGCGCTGGACGGGGCGGAGGCAGCCGGGGTCGCGGAGGAGGAGCTGACCCCGTTGGAGGTGCTGATGGAGCTGTGCTGGATGGCCTCGTTCTGGGGGCTGCCGGGGACTGACATCTCCTCGCAGCTCTCGTCTTTATCAGAGACTGTTGGAAAAAGAAGAAAGAATAAGAAGATCATCTCATTACAGTGTTTTGGATTTTCTTACGCTGCCGTTTCCCGTCGTCTTAATTATTAGCATTTACCTGATGTGATCCAGATAGGCTCGGGAAAGCTTTGTCATGTAGGCCTAATCAGATGTAAAACAGCTATTTGCATGTGGTGTATGCAAACTGTTTCATTAATCCCCATAATGCTACTTCTGCACCCCTTCCTTTAATTAAAGCTCCAATGTCAATTTAAACCCACATCATAAGGGTACATTACATTCTGGGGCATGTGGCAGTGTTTCCCACCCCTAACTGCATTCTCATTTGTTTTTTGTTACCTTGCCAACTACTGCAGCGACAGATGATTACAGCACCTGATTTTAATGATGCTCACACTGGAGAGTAGGGAAGACTTGGAGTCGAAATGCCACCAGCTGTTAGGCAGTTGCATTGAATTAATTGGATCCTGATGGAAAAAAAAGACTCTACTCTCATGCTCTGTTTCGTAAAGGAATAAGGAGCACAGTGATAATTAATATTGTTAATGATTTGAAGTCACTTGTTATGGCACTTTGTAATTAATGACTGGGTTTCGTATTTAAGAATGTAAAATACAGATTCCACAGCAAGAAGAAGCAATTAAAGTGCAATACAAATGTCTTCACATTAGAGGCTTCGTCTGCCTTTCTGACTGGACTTTGACCGCATGATTTAGTGCAAGTGAATGTCAAAGTGCTATAAACTGCCTTGCTGTTTTACTATGCAGAAGGTCAACCTCCGAATAAATCAGCTTGGTGGTTTTGTTCCATGTTCAAGTGAACATTATTACTCCTAACGACATTAAGGGGTGGCTAGCTGATATATCATAATACTCAGAAATTCTGGTTCCCTGGGCGGTCAGAGCTTCTTTCTGCTCTCTTGATTTCTGAAGTGGGGTTCGCTGTAAGCAGATGGACAGCTTGGTGTGCCAAGTGAAAGCATGTCCTGGCTTGTTTGTGGGGCAGTCTGGGTAATTTCCTCCCACCTGCCATGGCTACGCCTGGGCAGGACGATGAAGGGTATTACCAGGTCTGGAGGGCAGCGTAGCCTTACGGGATGTGTAACACTCACAAACTGGAGGGCTTGATGAGGCCTTTACATGAGCCACAGATCAGTCAGAATTAAATAATGTGCTTTACTAATTAGGCAAGATAGATTATTTGATGGTGATTCCCGACCAGGGGTACTCGTGCTCCAGGGTGTGCTTATGCAGTTGCCAGAGGGTACGTGGAAAGATTGTGTTGTGGCTTAACTAGTTTTAAGAAATTACAATTTAATTTTTAAAAATTGTTTGCAAGCAAGCATCTCATCTCATCAGGTTAGCTAAAAGTAATGAACAGTTCAAATAGATAAATGGCTGAAATAGCCACAACGTTTTAGATCGTTTTAGCTATTTCACTTCTTGAGTAGTTGACTAGTGGATATAATTTGATATGAAATGTTAGAAGAAATGTTGGGCTGAATGGTTAAAGTATCTAGTTTCTACCACCCTTAATGTCAGTAGTATGAATGCAAACTTGATCCTTGATGCCCAAACTGATTGGAACACTTCAATTGTCTTAGATATTGTAACAATATCCACTTTTCTATAATCAATAGTGTTGAGCAACATCTAGTTTAAAATCATTTGAAATGAACACATTTAGAACATGATGGGTGACGTTGATGAAGGGGCACTTGAGCTCATCTGACTGGCTGTGGGCGGAAATCAGACAGAGGGTTGGGAACTACTGGATCATTTAATCCTGCTCGTTCAGTGTATAGTAAAAACATCATATTGTGATTATTTTGACAGATATAGTGATTGTGATATGATTCACAATTAGTGTCAAAATTATCATTTTTGCATCACAATTTTAATTTTCACTGAAAAAACAACAACAATTAAAATTATGATGATATAAGAATTGCAGCTTTTTGCGATTTTCGATTAATTGTGCAGCCCTATACCATACATTTATTGTCACTCTCACATTAGTTGGCTTTCCTTCTTGGCTTGTCTCTACCCCACCTGTCATCATGAGCCAAACTGATGAACTGGGGTGTTTGGATGAGGTTATATTTTCCCAAACAGGGTAAAAAGTGCTCCAAATGTCATACTTCAGAAAGGTCTGGAAAAACAGGACAGACGTCCTCAGCAAACACATGAGAAAGATGACTCAATTCATCTGTGGATTTTGCTATAATAATAAAAAAAAAAACAATCCAGACGATACCAAATGAGACCTGGCTCTGACAGCCCACTCTAGCCTGGAAACCATCAGTCCCATAATACGCATGACGTGTGTCAGTGGGATGGTTAGCAATAAGGGATGCATAATGAACAGCCTAGCTTGCTGGACACCCCACAACGAGAATGCTCTGCAGTCTTGTCAAGCTTCCTGCTTTAATGGACTCATTTCAGAGGCAATCATTGTCAATACAAGTCAGCGGAGGCGTTTAAAGCACGGTGGAGAAGTGGCTTGGAGCACCCTTGTTCTCGTTGCATACTGGCTCATCTGTGAGGAAAGGTGAGTTATGACCAGAGAGTCAGAATGACAGAGCCCCAGTCTCAGGAAACGAAGAAATATTGGTGATATAATTCTAAACGAGACCATGTGATTGAACAAGAGCTGGCATGGAGACGACACCATACAGGCTGACATCAGGAAATTTAAATAAAGAAGCTGAAAACTGCAGAATCTTCTCTTATACTCAGAATTCATAAAGATGATCATTGTAGGTAAGCTAAAAGAATTCAAAGTTACATTTTAATTACCACATGTAGGTGTTACAAAAGAGAGAGATCATACTTTCTCATCCATTTCTTGACAACCAAGCATTTGGTTTGTGTTCCTGCAGACATTCAGCTTGATCTGACAAATGTTTATTTAGGTGTCAAATGAGGAGAAAACCACTTTCTTGCAGATACCACCTGTGGCCTCCTGCAAGGACTCGGACAATGCCGCTAGCGAGAATTTGTCTGAAACAACAAAGCCCATAAATATCTAAAGTTTTGCAGAGTTTTTTCTAAACAAAAAAGAAGAAGGGATCTAATATGTCAATAGCTCTTTCTGTTTGGCCTTAAGTAAGACATGTCCTTCTAGTGGTTAGCTGGAGCTCATTTTAGCAGCGTTTCACTGGAAGCCTCGGGCTGAGAATAATGGAGCATTACTCACTGTGATAGCCAGATTTCTTCTGCATGGCGGTTACAGGGCAATCTTTATGAGCCAGAAGAAGCTGCTTCAGCTGAGCCACTTCGTTTCTCAGCAGGGTGACTTCACTCTTTGGGAGAGAGAAGACACAACAGCACTCAATAAAATGGTCACTCTGGAGCACACAGTACGTCAGATTACAACATGAAGACAAACAGACCACATGTGGATAAAGTTCAAATCTGTAAAAGAAATTCAAGGTCAGATTTCTGTTATTTAAAATATAACTTATGAAGTTTTAAAGATCCCCTCCAGACATAAGTCATATGTACAAATAGTCTGCTTGGAACAATAATGTGTATCTGATATGTTTTTCCTGCCAGAAAGTATCATTTCCACTTTCAAATCCTTAAATCCTACTCCTTCAGCCTCATTAAAAATTCCAAAGTCTTCCTGTTGGACACAAGATATCTCCTACTTCACTGTAAAGTATATTCTCAGTGTTTGTGCACTGGTGGCTACAGGTTTCTAGATCACACTTGCAGAAGTTGAATACTGGACTAGAGTTGACTTCCAAACTATTTGTGATGTTACAAATCATTTCTTAGGACCCGCCCCTTAAATCAGATGTTCAGTGAGCACAGAGAGACTTTCCACTTTCAGCAGATGAATGTGAAAACTTCTAGTGTCATTCTGCACAGTGTAGCTCAACCATCTGACTGTAGGAACAAGAAGAAAAACCTAATTTTAAGTGAAGGAGGACTTTAAGCGTATGTTTGAACTAGAGTCTGACTGATACTGATATTTGAGACTTACAAAAAACAATGCATCAGCCGTTAGTAATTTGTTTTTTACATAAACACACGATGTATGGAACACAACATTTTCAATTAGGATTAGTAATTAGTTTTTTAAATAATTGTGATATGTATTGAGCGGGGTATTTTAAAGTTAGAAAATTGTGTTAGTGCTCTCTGGTGGACAAACTGTATGTGGTGTATCACTGTAACAATGACACTGTTTCTTAACTGTTTCACATCTTAAGCTTTTCACTACAGTTGTTGTTACACTTTGGCTCATACCGATGTATCTGCAAAAAGAAAATATCGGCAGATGTATCAGCCTGTCCTATTGGTCCAGCTCTAGTCTGAACCCAAGAAAGGGAGCTAGAATGAAGCTTCTGAAGTCTGAATGGGATACTAAGAGAAATAAGAAATGCTGACTTCGGTACATACTGTACACCAAACTGCAGGTCAAACGTGACTTTGTCCCTTCTTTATATGAATAGCCGTACCGTTTATTCACCACAGGATCTTAATGCCAATTATTAATGGGTTCACAGGGTTAAATTCATAAGACCTCCTCTGTACAGTAAGTACAAGACCACTAAATTACTGCACATAAACTCATATTTTCCCCCACGAGAAACAGCAAACACAGGGAAAAGTAACACAACACAATGAATGAATTCAGAATAAATTGTGATGCACTTCTTCATTTATGTTTTTCCTGCACAATAATTATGGGCCTTCACTGGCTACCGACCAGCACATTTGTCAGAGGTGAGCTGTTCGGATTGTCAGTGCAACTTTGTAGATGCTGCTGAGATTTACACACTCGTGTCGTTACAGCTCTCAGGGGAGCTGAGGATTTCTGCATGTCGTAAAAGGGAGCCACATTACGCTGAAGGTGACTTTAACTGGATTTAGAGCGGCCAGGGGCCCCGCGGAACACCCAATGGCAGATTTAAGCTCCTTCTCTTCTCCTTTAAAGGACTATGGGCAGCTTAATCTATTAGTCTAAAAGCAGCCAATTTATTTGATTCCATCTGTTTAGTCTTGCTAGTGTTGGCAGGGCTGAGCTATTGTAAGACAGATTTAAACACAGCTGGAAGGAGCGTGTGTATCACATGTAGCCAATGCCATATTCACTGCGTTTCCACCATGACTGCTGCCAGTTGCACCCAATATAAAAACCGGCGTTCGTTTAAAAAAAACTCTCCCTTTAATCCCACATAGAGAAGCACACAGGACAGACTTGTAGACAAAAGTCAGAAAAATCAACATCCATTACAAAAAGCATATAACAGCTTAGCAGTGAATACAATGTGGTTGGTTGATTTTCATTAGACTAAAGGATGAAGTAAAAACCATGACAGTAATACTGCCACTGACGCTCCAGTTACAGCAACATCAAACACCTGGAATTTCAAACTAAACTGGACTTTTGAGAGTTAAACTTGTTTCTAACTTTGTGAATTAATCGAAATTGAGCAAATGGGCCTTGGGTAATGCTGGGAGCCCTGTGAGCTGCCTGGTCTGACACCTCATTAAAAAGCCAGTTAAGGATGATGTTAAAATAATTGTGCATCATTAGAGGCAGTTTCACTGATCAGCTGGGCCATGTCAGCATGGGGGTTTTAACAAAAACTGCACAGCTGATTAATGCCTTCATATAAAGCGCCCTTTTATTCTCTGCCACATGTTGTTCCCTTCTTTGTAGTTAACAGTGAATCGATCTGTTTCTAACCCCATTCGCACACCTTTCCTCCCCCCTTTTTATCTACCTACATTTAAATAAAAGTGCACCCATGACAAGTGGTGATAACTTGTTTTTGAACCAAATATTAACGACATGAACCCATTTCTTCAGCACTGCTGTCTGTCCCCTCCTCCACCCTCCACATCTTATTCTGATTTCATAGAAAAATGAGACAGTGAGCAAATAAACACCACATCTCATTTAATTGTCTGGAACACCGATGTGCCGCACCCCCGGCTCACACTTATCAACAGAGACAGCAGATACATGAACTGTTTCGAACTTGTCAGCATCAGATCCTAATTGCTTCCAGCAAAATGAAGGTTCAAAAAGACACCTTTCCCTAGGAGATTTTTGAGGCCATTCAGTAAACTGCTGAGACAGAAGCGAAGACACGCTTGTGCGCGGCTGACATCTGGAGGATACATCTTTATTGACAGGGACATATCGATGTAAAGGGCTCACACACCGCTGCTGTCACACGGCAGCTCTTCTTAATCGGCTTTAATGACTTCATCACCGCAGAAGGAAAAAGTCTGTGCACACATGCTTACACCAACAGCACACGAACATAAACAGACACAAGCGTGCATGCATGCATACACACACTGACACACAGATGCATAAGAGCACATAAACAAAGACAGATGAAGCGGCTTTTGTTACATGCAGTAACTGAAGGGAAGACGTAAAGAGCACCTGTAGTTGTCCGTTCATGGAGCTGAGGTCCTCAGCCTTCTTTTCCAGAGACTGGACCCACACTTTCCTCTTCTGCCTACAGCGAGAGGCTGCAGCCCGGTTACGCTCTAGGAACTTGCGTCGCTTCTCGTCGGGGTCTTCGCTTGTGGTTCTGCGCCGCCGACCCCCTGTGCTTGGAGGGTTTTGCGCAGGGGGCACAGGGGAAGCCTGAACAACAATAATAATACAAAACAATAACTAGCAGAACAAAACCACCACCACATCTGTAATGTCCTGCAGCACTGAATACTGCACAGTGAATAACTGTACCGCTAAAATAAAAATACTGGAGTTCATTTAGTTTCCTTTACATGCAGATCAAGAAAGTAATTTCACCAAGTAATCAATCTGACACACAGAAATATGAAACATAATCAAATCCAGCTTCAGGTCATCTTAACATCATGTTTAAACAACTGCCATATTATTGCTGCAGTGCTTACAAAAGGCTTTATAATTAGGCAGGAATAATTTTCACATTAATCTACACCTGGCAAGATTTTTATTTAAATGAGAAACTATCTGATCAAAAACTGTCTGCACTTGTGAGACACATTTAAATTGAATGATGACTCTGAAAATGTATTCTTTGAGCATGGTAACATGGTCTGTTAAGGAACAAACTGGATTATTATGCTTCATGTGCACACACCAACAGATTACAGATACAACTTTGTCCCTATACTGGAGCTGTGGATACGTACAGGTGTCTCTGTGGTGGAGGTGGCTGGCTGCTGAAGGGAATGGGGAGAAGGTTCCTCAGTCGTGGGCAGGTGAGGAGCCGGAGCAGGACTTAGGACCGCGGGCGGGGCTGGAGTTGGAGTCGGGGGCGGAGCAGGAGAAGCGGGAGCAGCGGTGTGGGTTACAGCGCTGCTCTGGACTTCTCCACCATCTCCATTGGTTACCTGAGGAAGCTGCTGGCTTAATGTGGCTTTCAGTTTCTGGGAAGAGAATTTGACACAGAGGAAAACAGTTATTAAATGCAAAGAAATGGTTAGTAAACTATATTCAGTTATGTAAACACAGTAAAAAGGAGGTCATGGGTATTATCCTTCATCATTCAAGGCAACACTTTTGAAGTAGAATATCAAAGTTTATTTTCACTGGTTGTTAAGGCATGTTTTACTCTATATTAACCATATACCTATATTTAACTATGTATTTTGAGCAACAGATTAGCTATTAAGGTTATTATAATTACCTGCAAATGTAATGTATTCATTACATTTTAATGATATGGATCTAACTGAAATACACATTAATTAGACTACGACAAACTAAGCATGAGGCCTAAATGTTTTCTTGTATTTCTAAAAGAAATTCCATGTCCGGCAAAAATCAAAGCGCTGGTGTACTCAGCCTACATCGAACACATTCAGCAGTCTATAAAGACCTACTGTGTTGAAATGCACATTTGAGACTGTGGACCTACAGCTACGCTTGAGAACTCAGAAACTTCAAAACAAACCTCAACAGCTAATAAAAATGTGTGCAAAAAGAAGTTGGGGAAAGTGGTACCTAAAGATAGCAAACAACACCAGACCTAGCATGAGTATTTAGTAGGTAGTGAACAGACTGTAACAGATTGCTTTAGAGGAGTCAGCAGAGAACAAGAATAGACAGAGAGGTATTACTGCTGACATTATTACCAAGGATGGTTAATGGTTGAAGTGTGAAATATCCTTCTATGTAAGTATTTTGATATTCCATTTCACCCCAGAATTAACGCTATAAAGTATGATTTTAAACAGAAGTCAAGAATAACTGGCATGAAGAAGTACTGAAATAGTAAAGACAATAATTTTAAAATTAGGCTAAAATGAACGGTCTAATATAAGCACAACTCACATTTATTTTACATATGTTTAGGTTGCAAACTTATCTGGATACCAAAGGTGATGCACATCCACAGCACATAATGTGAGCCAAACAATACAAAATGTACTTTTTTGAACATTGACAAGGACACACACACACACACACACACACATTCACAGAAACTATTTCTCTGCAGATTGGCGTCCATGATTCACAGGCCAATTTCTCTAGTATCAAAACACTGAGCAAACAAGGTGAAAGTGAATGAGCCTTTCGAAGCAATAACAAAGTGAGAGGGAATACATTTACATGAGAAAACAGAGGACCACATTATTCTAACAACTACCTTTGCCAGACCAATCTATCTACCAAATTAGTTTATCGTGTAATACCCTTCCAGAAGCTCTTCTGGCAGAAACAAGATATTATTCTCTTGGAATGGCCCATAGAAAGAGGGAAAAGCCAGTCAGATTCATATTTCATCTCTGCCATGGAAACCTCATCAGTGTAATAACCCTCCATCTCATGGGTGTTATTCAACCATCTGCTACTATATTACTTATCTTTATTTTGCAACTAATTAACAGCATAATCTTCTAAATTCAGCAAGTTAATTATCATTATTGTGGTCTTTGCAGCATCATCAGTCCTTGTAAAGTGCCGTCTCTGCGCCCCCTGAGAGCCGGGTGGGGGTGGGGAGCAGGCAGGTTGAGCGGGGGTCTGTTTTCTTGACGCGGGCTCATTAGGTGTTTGCTGATGAGCTGAGTGCAGTGGGAGGTGCTGGGAGTAAGAGGGGGGATGCAGGTCAGGCAGGATTCTGCTGAACAAAAGGTTCCATGCAGGGTGAGGCCGACTTAATGTGCCTCACTGAGCGTGTGCCAGGATGCCCCCAGCTGGCTTTCGCTGGTAGCCCCCCTCTGGTTGGCCCCGGTGACGGCGTGCTGAGCACAACGCTGTCTCCACGTTTGTCATCTCCGTACCCCATGATCCTCGACAACCCCCTCCCCCTCCACCTCGCCAGTCAGGATCAATCCTTCCCTCCCAACACACACACACACACACACGCACACACCTCCTCTCCGCAGTTTATCTGTTAATTTCCACAGGCGGAGCATGCTGCGAACACTTACAGGTTCTGTGATCCGTGCTTCATCACATTGCCACTGATCTCCCACACAACACTTCATATCCCTGCCCTTCAACTATCACTTTTGATACAGGTTACAACACTGCTACGACCGTCTTCTCCCAACAGAGAAACACAAGGAATATTTTTGTTTACTTTAAGTAGCTGGAGACGGATGCCAATAATGATTATTTTCATTATCAATTAATCTGCAGATTATTTTTATATTCATCATTTTGTCTATAAAATGTCAGAAATGAATGAAAAATGCCTTAAATGTTTTAAGTTCCTAGAGTCTAAGCTGACATTCTTAGATGTCTTTTTTGTCCAACAGTCCAAAACCCAAAGATATTCAGTTTACTATCATCTACGACATGAAAGCAGGGAATCTTTGCAGTTTTATGGGTATCAACTATTTCATTGAAACGCTTTGGGCTGCATGAATGGTGCTATTATTATTAATTATTATTATTACTACTTAGATATGGTAGAACCAGCAATTATTTAGTATTTTGCTTGAAATCTATTTAATTAAACAATATAATAATTATAAAAACGATTATGCGTTACGTCAATTAACTAATCAATTAATGAAATAAATATTAAATAGTAGAATCCTGATGGACAGTCCATCGATGGGGGGGGGGCATTAATTAAAAATCTACAGTTTTTGGAATAATCCACGCCCCACCTTTCACTATCGCCCTCATCTGGTCAACGGAAGCAACTGCTCTCTTCCTGTCAAGCATACTCATTACTTTGGTTATTATCTCTCTCAGATGGGAAATAACAGACTGAACATGGAAATAACATTTGATGTAAAAGAAAATATAATTAATACCAGCTTTGCTTCTGATTGGACGGGCTGTGGCTGCGGCTGCGGCGAGGGAGGTCCTGGGATCCCGGGGACATTAGGCACTACGGTGACAGGTCTGACAAGCTGACGGCAGAGACACAGAGACAGATCAGCACAGAGAAAATTAGTCTTCGGCAGTAAAAAGACGGCCGGCACTCCTCCGTAACACACACACACACACACACACACGCATAGCCACGGCAGGCTCTCAGAGTTTCCTCATATCTCAGCCTCATTACGTTGGATGGCCTGTTATTTTGTGGAGGCAGCGCCACATGGAGATGCAGTGTGCACGCTAATGAACCTCTGCCTGCCTGTGTGAGAGCATATGGACAGGGAAGCTGAAGAGAGGATGGAGAGACACGAGTCGGAAGGCCAGAGTCAGGCCTCCTCTCGCAGACGCTGACAATGAGACAGAGGGAGGTGGGGAGAGCTGGAGAGGGATAGAAAGATAGGGGGGAGAGGAGGGGTGATCGAGTGTGAGGGAGGCCCACTGGTGGCTCATGTTCTCCATCTACTTCTGCCCTCCTTTACTTGTCAGCGGCTTTCCCAATCCCCACAGACTGGGAAGATAGAGGTTTTTTCCCTGCTGTGCCGCTATCAGGAGATAATCATCTGCTGCTCAGTGTTCCACACAGACAATCAGGACTACAGTGAACAACAAGACAAGCTTCCACATGGGGGAGTTAAAAAAAAAAATACAAGACCTTCATTTACAACATATTTCCTACATGAGACAGTGTCATGGGTTGCAGTTATAATTGGTTTGTGAAATACATTAGTAGTATCATCTATCTGCTCTGCCAGAAATCAAGAGCGTTGATTCTAATTGTACAAGGACAAATAGCAGTGAAGTATCCTGGACTGGAGCCTGCTGTGCCTCAGCCAAATCCCTTGTCTTTGCGACAGTGACACACAGTTGTACTCTGAAGTCCATTATTTCACTCAACCTCTACAGCTCTGCACTGACTGCCAAATCTGAGGTGCCAAAGCTGTAAATAGCCCCTCTGTCCAAGAAGAGTAAAGAAAATATGTGGTATTAATGTATCTGAATGTCACTTTAAAAGGACTTCAATTTTACTGATGTGAATTATTGTCCGTACAACGTTTCAAATTTAAAATGTGAGTACCAAACAGTAAACTTGTGCCCAGCAAAGCATAAAGTAATTTGACCCAGTCCAGTGATTTTGTTATTCCACTCACTGGACTAAAATAGTACTCTAAAATTACTTGGCTTGAGAAAACAAATGCTTTGGTTCATTAGTTGGTTCATCCTTGTTCTTGGAAACGGCGGTCGACAAAATTATCTCACTTCAAGGTTCGTTTAGTGGTTGTTCTCAAGCTTTGGGAAATGATTGAGAGTTCCAGAACAGCTACTAAATGGACCTTGAGGTGAGATTGTTTTGTCGACGGCTCTTTTCAAGGTCAGGAATGAACTCTGGAGCTCAACTTTTAAGCCAATACGAATGAGAAGTTCTCACTCAGAAAAGATATACTGAGTTTAATGAGAACTGGACAAACTCTATCTGCTGATGAAGATCCTGTGATATGACTGAAAGCTCTAGAACAGCTATTAAAAAGGGTGAGATTTTTTTGTTTCTCCATTTTTTTGTCAATGACATCCCTATTTGTTAAGTGAGTAAAGGTTACCGCATGATTAAATGATCAGAAATATCAAAATTCTGCTTTTACTCTGACACACTGAAACACAAGGTGAACATGACGTAACCAGCAGAGCACTCACAGGGATTGTAGTTGGAATATGTACACTTGAGCTTGTAATAGACGCAGGTATAGCGACTGGCATGGTCTGGCCGTTAGGCAGCTGTAAGAGCACGGGGAAGGTGCCAGACACCGGGCTGAAGGGAGAGAGAGAGAAAAGTAAACCAGATTAGAAAAACAACAAAGAACTTTGTGATTAACACACAAAACAGAATATGTCACAAACTAAAGACAAGAGTGGCTACTAATATACCAACATAATGTCATAATCAGGCAACGATTTAAGGAAATAAAGTGGAACTAAAACAAAATCCAACTTAAAATACACCTGACAACAGGTTCAAGCTATATTAATAAAAGGTACATGTTGTCACATTAGACCCCGTAAGTGACATCAGTCTTGCCCAGATATGGACTTGTTGGTTGGTAGAGCACATGGGATAGTCGAACATTCATTTAAATAATGGATATTTTTACCTACGTGAAACCTGCCTTAAAGCTGCACTACTTACAATCGCTTTCAATTTGAAGCGATTTGATTTTACTACCAAAAAAGTAATTAATTAATAATAAATCATCTGAATTGCTGAGGTATGAGCTCAGGGACACAGATTTAGAGAATATCGTAATCTGTATTTGTGTGTTACTGCAAATATAATTGTCCAGACAGCTTTCTAACAAGTCTAATTTGCCTCACTTTGACCTATGAAACTTACAGCAGCTGTGGCTCCGTCTCGCAAGCAACTGATGATTAAAATGTATATTTGACATGTATTCCCATTCGTCTGCCTCACTCTGACTAGCTTGTGCTTCACCGTACAGTATTACAACCCCCAATGTTTGTTCACTGACTCTGAAGCTCAAACATGAGCAGTTATCTACCTTGCCACATGCCAGTAACATTAAAGCACCTCATCGTTTTAACAAAGATAAAATGTATTACATTATTTACTTTGTGTTCTACAAGTAGAAGGTCCCATGAAGTTTTACATTTGCCTCAGTCATGGAAGTTGTATTTGTTGAATTTAACAATAATCACATCTAAATGTATCTTTGTTAAAATAACAAGAGCCTCAGTACACTATGCAATACTGTATATGGGCTTAATCAAGTACAGAGGTTTTAAAAGCTTGAGCTAAACATACACCGAGGCAGGAATTATTATGTGGTTGTTGGAGCTATGAGTCCATATTTGAGCAATGCTGATGTTGTTCTTGAAGACGGTACTTATGAGGTCTACAGCCAAAAACAAAAATTCCTGCAGAGTGCAAATAAACCAAAAACAAAACAAGCACATGCCTCATGAAATATGAGCTCACCAAGACAAAACTGCACAAATATAAATAAAAAAATAAAATAAAAAAATAAAAAGATGACTTAATACTATGAAACTATGATTTTTAAAAATGGACATTTTGAGTTACTTACACTATAGGCCTATTAGTGGATGGGACTTGGGTAATAACAGAGCTAGATGTTGGTGATGGGAGAGCTTGCTGTATTACAACATTAGCCTCTGAGGTTGCTAGAAGTACATTGGGAACTTGGAGGGATGCAGGATGGACTATAGTGGATGTTGGCAGTGAGGCTGGCTGCAAAGATAAGTCCTGAAAACATCATACAAGACCTTAGCTGCAGGAAGTGTTTAATGAACACCAGATTCTTAAGAAAACTCCTTCTTATAATAAAAATGATGCCCAAACTTCACCATATTCATCTCAAGATTAGGAATAAAACAAACAGAGAAAAAAAATGAATTAGTCATCTAATATCTCTCCTGAGTTTCTCTAGATAATAATTATGTGCGGTACTGTTAGTATACTTTCACAAAATTAGACACAAACATCATCTTAGAAAGTTGAGACAAAGTCAGATTGAAACAAGCAAATCATGTGATAATTTACTAGATTAATATCCATACCAGTAAAAGAATAAATTACCAAAAACAGAAGCAGAACATCTTTCATTTACTCGTCATGACAACCTTATAAACTCTGTTATTAGCAAAAAACACCAGAAACAGCTCATTCAAAGGCTTTACCTTGTCATCATTTGTAGTAGATTCGGGGTGAGGCAGAGGGCTGTCTCGATGCGCCTCCATAGGTGTGGGTTCCTCAATTTTGTTGCGTATGATAGGCGTCGCAAGAGGTGACAAATCCAACGGTAACTACAGAAATATAGGAATAAATCAGATATGTTTTTTATTGATCCGTCAACAAAACAGACCAGAAATAGAAATTCAAACTATGCAACAAACAGAAGTTAGATAATCCACTGTCTAAAAGTTTGACAACAAGAACAACAACCTTTTTAATGTCATCTTCAGTTGCCTTTTTAAAGTCATGGTCGAACGGACTTGCAAGTTCATTGAAGAGTCCCACCTCCTCACAGTTCTTCAAAAAGCGGGTAGGCGTAGGCGTTTGGTCTGCAGTGGAGGAAAGATCTCAGTACGCAGACTGTAATGTAAAGTATCAAATACATCCAAATATCTCAACTCCAAGAACACTCACCAGCAATGATGACACTGTCAGTCCTTGCTGGGCCAAACTTCAGTGTCATCTCATGTTTGTGTTTGTGGACAGCCAAGTGATCCTCATTTGTAAATCTCTATGTAAGATAATAAAAAAAGAAAACAGACTGGACAATGAGGCAGGATCAGTTTGGATATGGTAGTGGATCATCTGTCCATACTTTAAGCTTTTAAGTGCAACAAGTAATGTTTTAACAAACATTATGTCTTCTATTAAACATCTGTGATTATTCAGATTAAGTATTAAACATTAATTGCTGCATCTCATAAATCTTTAAATATAAATGTGTGCTCCACTTGCTTCTAATATTTCATCAACATTTACATATTAATGAGGATATTAATCGGTTCCAACAAAAACTGATTATAATCTTCATGAATTTAAGATTTTAAATTGAGGTCCAGAAGTCGTGCACTCAGTTTATACAAACTTAATATGGAGTTTTTTAACAGTGTGATACCAGCCCTTTTAAGACTCACAACCTCTGAAAGTGATGCCCTTCAGGCCAAGAAACATGTAGGCATACATGACTGAACAAATACAACAATGCAGTGCAGTGTGGAGAAAGCCTTTTTTTTTTATAGACCATCAAATAAGGATTTAAGCAATCATCTAGAGGGGCCTTTTCTAAAAATGTGGCTCTAACACCTTTATTATTTTAGCTCAAGTTAAAGGTCCAGTGTGTAACATTTAGGAGGAACTATAGCCAAAAATGAAATATAAAATTCATAGGTATGTGTTTATTAGTGTATAATCATCTGAAAATAAGAATCGTTGTGTTTTCGTTATCTTAGAACGAGCCGTTTTATCTACAGATGCCGTGGGTCACCTTTAATGGAGTCCGCCATGTTTCTACAGTAACCCAACAAACACTGGCTGTAGATACGGACATTTGCATTTTTCAAGAATAACGCAGTCACCATAGATTCTCCTACACACTCCACAGCCGGTTCTCATTCCCAGGTCGTCAAACACAGACGCGAACAATGTTCAGTTAGTTGCAATCTGCTACATCACCGCTAGACGCCACTAAATCCTACACACTGTACTTTAAGTCGTGTCTCATTAATTCAACAATTACCAAACGTGACCACACAGATAAACTTTAGGACAGGTAGTACTGCAGTATAGGAGCAGCGACAGGTCTCTGTACATAACATAATGAAGCTGCTATCTATAGCGGGCTATGTGCACTGTACATGATGGGAACTTGCAGGTCTATGCACATATCGGAAATAGCAGCACAAAGTGACATTGATGATGACAGAGGTGACTTACCTGTCCACACCCAGGAGCAGTACATTGGAAAGGTTTATCATCACTCATATTAAGGGATTCCTGTTGTGTCACCCTGAAATAAAAACATAAGCAGGAGTTAAATATGAGAAGTAAAGATGTGCCTTAATGTGTGTACCAAATAAAAAAAAGAAATAAAAAAAGAAGCCCATTCAAGATGTGGAATAAACATTATTATGGCTGCAATTTATTTATTTAAATACGCAGAGCAGATGGAGAGCTATAGAGGTGAAACTCCTGATACAAGACACGTAGAAATATGGACAAAGCATATCGATGATGGGCGGCTGCTTTGGTTGTTTACACCTCAGTGTCATCATGAAAGACGCTGAATGCTCGGTCCATTTATTTTGGTCCAAAATACACCGACTACAGCAGGACACCCTGAGCTGACACTCCTACCGCTTCATGTGCTGTAAACACAACTAATATATCAACACGAAAAGGCGTTACACATAAGCTACAGTGCGTTAATACAGAGATTATCTGTTCCAGTCGCCTCCACGGAGCCTGAGCCCTGCGTTAACATACACCCGTCGCCATATTTGGACCTAAATAAGACTGTAAACAGAGGATGTGTCCACGTTTATCTCGAGGTTGTTAGTTGTACCGGAGAACAAGTCCCTCGCAGTGACAGATATTATGTCTTTTTAACAGCCGCTTTGTACCCATTCCCTCTCAGTTTATGTGGTCACTTACCCCTCAGCCACAACCCTTGATTTCCAAAATCCCACGTCTGTATCCAAGTATCGCGAGAGTAGCTTGTGAGGGGGGGGGGGCTCTTCCGTAAACGTCACGCTCGCACAGGACCTGTTTTGTGTTTTACTGCATTTATCTTTGATCCTCATGTAGTTTTTGAACAGATATACAGGATATCCTCCTCCATATATGTTTTATGTATGTATAGAAATATTCTGCGCTCTTTAGTTTCAGACGATATATTTCTGAACACAATGTACCCTTCTGAAATCTCCATTCTCCATTCATGTGATCTGGAGGGTTCAAGTTCACCAACCAACCTTATGTAAGTTGCATACTCCTTGGTAGCTCAGTTTTAGTGCAATTCAAGTATCTGTTGATGTAACTGATTTTTAAAAATTGCATTGTTCGGTTTTAACTTTTAATGTTAGTAGTAGTTCAGTAACTGTCAATTATACTATTATGGATATAGGGATTTATCTTTTATAATCAGAAGGTTACTATTCAGGGCAATTAAACTGTTGCAGTGCATACAGGTTTGCTTTTAATTTCATACTCAACTGTCAGCTACACAAGTTTCTTATGTTTGGTATTTACCGATGATCATTTTAAATCATTTGTAAACTGTCATGTTTTTGATAAATAATTTTTGTCTATAAAAATGTAAATAAGCCCTCATTAGTTTGAATTATTTTGGATGAAAACAGACCAAAAACATAGCAAAAAAATAAGCAGATTCTGAATCTGAAGAAGCAGGAACCAACCAACAAACAAAAGAACTCATTAAAACTGATTTGTTTCAGCTTGAACTAAATTCTGTCCAATCCAAGCGACAGAAAGGTCCAATGAACACAAAAACAACCCAGCAGGGACTTTCATTCATGACACTGAAAAAAGTCAAAATCCATTATATAGCTCAATTAAATCATCTAGATTTATTTAATTGCCATTTACAAAAGCAAGCACTCACTTGCTGCCTAATTACAGTACCATTTAACTTCAGCTGAACCAAAAATCCATTAAGGTGGACCCCAAAAAGCTTGCATGTGATGTTCTGAAAAAACAAGGCTGATTGATGGTAGATCTAAGCAGCTGCTTCACAGGAAAGTTGACATTCACGAAGGCCGACTGCTTTCTGCTGCGTTAACATGATACTCCAGACATAAAAGTTACTGCCATTGTTAAATAGTCAAATACATGTATTTTAATCACGTAATTTCTTACATTTGTACAATACATGTTTTTCTTATTTGAACAGTGTCTGAAGGACTTGAAAATGTACATTTCCATGACACCAACACGGAACAATTTTGGTAGCCACAATAAAATATGTAGTCACATCTGTAATGAAAGTGTTGTATGACAGCAGAGTTTTACATAGCAAACAGGATAAGGAAAGCAACCATCAAACAGAACAGTCCCATGGCTTCAGACAGGGCAAATCCCAGGATGGCATATGAGAACAGCTGCTGCTTCAGAGATGGGTTCCTGCAAACAAGAACAAACTGTCAATGCAGTCTATAAAAACTAAAAAACACCACATGAAACCTGTTAATTCAAGTAAATTTATGTTATTATTTTCAGGATGCACGGTGGTAAAAACAAACCTAGCATAGCCGATGATCAGACTCCCAAACACTGTCCCAATACCAGCTCCGGATCCAGCTACTCCGACTGTGGCAGCTCCGGCTCCGATAAACTTGGCAGCGGTGTCAATGTCCCTGCTGATAGCACTGGTCTGGAAGCCCCTCAGTGCGACCTGGGTGAGAGGGCTCTGTGGCATCACAGCAACATTGCTCTGAAGAAAGACAGAAACTGTAAACTTTCACCTTTAAAACCAATGACATGAGACATTAAATAGTAGTGAAACAATTAGTGATGACTGAACTGACTGAACAAAAACAAATCTCTAATTTTCATGATAATTTAATAATTTTGTCAAGTATCAAAACCAGATAGTGTTTGAACAATTAGTTTTTTTGGTGTTGGTGAGACTCGTTTGAAACACTGTGGTCTTGACACATATGACACTCATTTAGCATTTTATAGAGGAAATGACTAGAACCAATTAGTCAAAAACATGTGCTACATAATTAACAAACCAAGTGTTAGAACAAGAGTTGCAGTCCCAGTAGAAAGTCTGTATTTTACCTCTGTCTTGATCTCAGGCCTGGACAGCACAGAGGCAGAGAGGGGTCTGTAAAGAGCCCGGGAACCAGCACGGACCTGCAGCAACAGGACAATTAGTTACAAAAACACACAAACTCATCAAGACATGAAGCCTATTGTTATTGCTCGTCTGCAGGAACATGAGCAGGTGGAAGGCACCTTGAATGTCATTCACTGCAGTACACACACTATACGACCTGTGGCCTTTACTGATCTGCAAGTACAGTCTGTGCTGTTAAAGTCACTCAGTAAACAGTTCTGTTGTTAACCTGACAAACTGCAATTAACATCGATAGGAAGCGACTAACAAATCCTGCTATTGTAGTTTCTACTGGTGAGCCTGCTACTGCAGCTAGAAACAGAAATATGACCTTGGATAACGAATATTAACCCAAGCTACATGTATTTGGGAGCTAATAATGCCCAAAAGGACAAGGTGATTATTGGAGCATCAGCTGCAGAGGCCTGTGTTTGGTGTTTCAGGTGAAATCTAACATTAAAGTCGGCTAACAGGGGCTCATAATGACCTTAGCTACCCGCCATGATTGAAAAACGTCTCCTGGAGGAGTCAAGCAAATGCACAGTGGCTGTTTACTGAAGATCAATTACATGCAGCTTATTCATGAACATTAACGCTACACTGCCGCCATATAAGAAGTGTATCATTATGTGCTTGAGCATTAGCCTGCTAGCCTGTTGGCCTAGACTGCAAATACCCTTGTCAGCCAGATACAGTCAAGTTCAACCAGAGGCCCAGCGGACTCACTGGAGACATTACAGGAGCACAACTCACATTCACAGCACGGAAACACACAGAACAAAGCAAACTCACCAGAGCCGGCGTGGAGACGAACTTTGCACAGGCGTACATTTTCTAATTTAGGTAGTTTGAACCGGTTCGGTCAAATCTGGTTGAAGCCCGGGTCTCTCTGAAGGGGGGGGAAGACCGGAGAGAAAGTAAGGTCAAACGACTGTAAAAAGGCTCCACAGAGAAAATAAAGGCATTCATATGTACATTCACATCCATTCTGCATGCTGTCCTCACTTGTGCGTCGCTATGTGAAGCTACGAGAGAGGATGAAAGGGGATTTGTGAAGAAAACGCTGCTCATTCAAACAGCCATTACACACTTACCGACTGCAGAGGTCGAACCACAGTGGAAGAGTGCGCATGCGCGGAGTGATGTATGTAGAGGCCCGGATGATGACAATGAAAGGTCATTTCACAGAAACTTTATTTAACATGATCACAGCAGCAACGTTTCATTCACAAAACCAACTGATCTTTGTTTGCTCCCTGTTTATTGATGGACGCACCTTCAGTGTGTCAATACAGTTAAGACAGATGATAACTTATCTATCATAATTTATTTATTTATCTATTAATTCTAATTAGTTGTATTGATGGAAATTCACCCGTTCTGTTGGTCTCGCTCTATGTTGACCTGAAAAAGTGTTAGTAAAATAGAATGTAAGATATTTTTTATTTAAGATAAGATGAGATAGACTCTATTGATCCCACACTGGGGAAATTCACAAACACTAGAAATACACTAAACACACGGAGCTGCAGTAGCAGGTTGATGAACATCCACGTTAAACTGATGCTTTTAATAAAATAACGTAGCGGTGTGCGTTTTCCCCTTTAGTCATTATCATGGAGAGGTTTTAACCAGTTTGATGTGGAATTGACCTTTTTCACAACAAATATTTTGACATAATAAACACAGGTGTTACCAATGATACTAATTAATTCATTAAGTTTCCAGTGTGTCAATATGCACGATAGCAGCAGCCTCATTCTGTTTGACCTGAATGGAACAGAACCTTAATTAGTATCATTGGTAACACCCTGTGTTTACCCTACTATTTCCTGTGAAAATGGCTGCTGTGAAAAAATTCTACTGTCTGGAGGTTATTTTTTTCTCTGGTCGTAGTATTGACACTGACAGATCTTATGAGAAATCTTCTGATATAAATTGTGACTCAACTAATTATTAGATCATGAAAATCTAGGCCGCCATTTGGGACACAGAATATGGAAGTCTGGTTTCAACTCACAACATGCAGGTCATCTCAATATATTGAAGTTGGAAAGTATTGACATATTGTCCAAGGATACTAGATATGTCAGGTAACATTTATTGTATTCAATTCTAGAATATTTCCATTTGTGGGGATGGGCAAGCCATAAAAAACAGTCTTTGGTCAGTCAGTGTAATTAAACACCATATACAATAACTTCAGCGTACAGCTGGAGCAAGCCAATACAGAATATATGAATGTGATACTGTCAGAAAGCAGTGAATGAGATCATTTTCCAACTTTAAAGCCACATAAAAGGGAAATTAAAGAGGAAAAATGGGATTTTGATGTGTTATTTGATTTCTGTAAAGCTCACTTCACAATAATATGGCAAACCATTGAGTTAATTTCTTTATTTCTTTATTTTATTTAAAATATTCTTGGGTGAATGTAATGTCACATGACGTGAACTCGTCATTCAACTCACGACTTCTGGGCGAGCATGTGACAGTTCAGTTGCATTTGTTTCTGTATGTATGGATGAGTGATAATGGTACAAATATAGAACCTTTTATAAAACCATATATTTATCCTAAAATGTCTAATTATTAAAATGTTATTGTCAACATTTCTGTAGATAAGAAGGGGTAAAGTTAGGTACAAACCAACCCAGTCTCATAGACCTTGGCTCAACTGTGGGAACGATGGTGGAAATTCGTGGGTGTAGCATTGCTGCAGGTCAAACCAGGAAATAGTGGCCATTTAGATGAGGTTTGCGTGATCCTACGAAACACCATGTGCTTCCTTTTCCTGTATATTTGCACGTCCCTGTGTGCAGGTTTCACTCTGCTCCTGACT